AAAGTAGCGTTCGCTTCCATGTCAGAACCATTATTGTAAACGAATTTTCCGGTAGTTTTTCTGCTATTTTTTTTTTGTTTTTTTGCGCTTCTGAATGACTGATGTATCCCAGTAAATTCCATTTTTCTGCTCTGTCACATTTAGTATTACGATACGAAGGTTATGTTAAGCTAAAGCCCCGAATGACAACACTAGCTTACACTTCCAGTCTGCCATCAGGCTTTTTTGTTGGGGAGGGGGTGGGGGCGCATTTCGGGGCTTACATAGCTCCCGGAAGGGAACCGCTCTCCAACTGCGGGCTAGGCACCCGAGGCCAGTCCGGCCCTGTTATGAGTCAAATCAATCCCTACAGACTATATATTCTGACTGAAATAGATAATAAACTGTAGCAATACCTCATGATGACAGGGTGTGGTGTTGGATTGTCTACCACACCGGCGGCCCTACAATACGCACTATAAAAGTTTCGTGTCTAATCCAGGACGTTTAACTCACATCTGTCTCACAGTGAAATTAGCCTGTTTATGTATTTTTCCTTTTTGAGTGAAAAACGTGTCTGCTTGGTTTATTGAGAACCAGGGACCTTTAATAAATGAAGATAAGAAAATATCTTGCAAAAGTGGTCAATTTACAAGCAAAAAGACGAAATGGCCCACAATTGATATGACCCACAATTGATTCATTGTGCTACAGATCCTGCAGTTTTCACGATTCCGAAAAATAAATTCAGAAGTGAATTTCTCTCGTATTGAAGCAAATCATATCCAAATTTGAGCTTCCTACAATGCTGACCCACAACTGGTTCCAAAAATCAATTGTGGGCCAAAACAGACTATTTTTAAAACAGCCACAGCTTAGTAAATAAGGATGATAGACAGGGCTACTATGCTGCAAAACTTAGGCCAAGGACTATAGTTAAAGGCCGCACATGCACTTTTGTCACCAGGTCAGAATTAAAGGCCTTAATTTGGAATTTTCAGAAATGTGACCCACAATTGATTTTTCACCTTAAGTCGCCCTAAAAACTGGGGCGGGCGAATTAGTCGGTCAGTTTCAGGGCACCACCTTCTCTCAGTGGAGTTTAGTTGGTTCAGTTGCCGGCGCTACGCGGATATCCGTGCTCTTTTGCCCTTATTTTCTTCCTGCCAACAGCTCCTTAGATTTCACAGGAGCAAGAACCGGTACGTTGAGGCGGTGGCTGCTAGAGTTGTCGATTAGAAGGCATGGTTGGAGCTCGCGGGGTCGGGACACGCGCGCCGCATCGCCTCGCAGACGAATCTGACCACAATTAATCGTGGAGTGGAATAAAATCGAACCAAATGTTTCAATAGACGTTCATTGTGTTTCGGATGCCCATGTACTGCAGGATTTGCAGTACAGGAAACTTGATGTGGCCATGGGTGTGCTTATGTGGTAAGATCATGAAACATTTAGAAATCGGCAAATAAAGGAAACTTTTCAGTGCCTTTCAACTTTGTTCCAAGTTGAACATCGGTTCTTATGTCTTTGAGGATGCTGATGACGAAAATTGAACACTGAGATTCCAAACGCTATGAGTATAGCACGTATGGTGCAATGCGCTGTGATATCGCACCATACGTGCAATGCCACAGGCATATTGCACCTTTGGTGCAATGCTTCCCGAAAAGGCCCTATGCTAATGCATGGGAAATGGGAGGCATTGCACTTCATGTGCAATGCTTTTGCATTGCACCAATTGACGCTATACTCATAGCGTTTGGATTCTCAGTGAACCCATTCCGACCCTTTGTGTGCCGTCCAGCACGGACAGGAGCCTCACTAAGACAGGCCAGCGCCGCAGGTGAAGGTATGTAGGGGGCCAGGCGTGAATAGGGTACTTCGGAGGAAACCCAGACCGGAAGTCAACGGCACAACAGGAAAAACAAAAGAGCGTCGCGCGGCCGTGCTGAGCGGTGGTGGGGGACGGAATGGGCAGAGTAGGGGTAATGTGCGCGCGCCGCCTGCCAGATAGGTTGTTTTTTAAATTTATAGCTGAAGCTTAGTTACGCAGTTTTGGTAGTTTTAGTTGATTTTTTGTAATTGTCTCTAAAATGTTTTGCCTACTTCTTCTGCCCCAATCATTATGGCTCTATAGAAGCCTTTACATTCCACTGATTATTTTGACCTCCTTCTCTTAACATTCTTAGTGAGTTCAAGTGTTGACAGCAAAGTTGCTTTGCAGCGTTTAAAGATCTAAGATGCTTATTTTGTCATCTCACTAAATATCGTGCCAAGCAGATCTATGGATTTTTGGCTAAGCGACAGCGAAGCCCGTTACTCGGCTGGGGTTACAAAACTATTTCTGAGTGCGTGTGTGTGTGAGAATGAACTACTACTGAACGGCTCGGCCGATCTGGCTGCGATTTTGCAAGGCCATTGGGTATCTCCTGGGCTCACCACACACCACAGTGCAGCTTTCCACCTCAATCCATGTGGTCATTACAGCCAAAAACACTTTAAAACGAAAAAAAAGGAGAAAACCATCAGATTGTAACTGATTAACGTTGTTACGGAGGAGGATTTCGGCCACAAGTGGTGCTAGAACGGCGTATGGGTATTTTTGAAATCGGGGTGACCAGACAAAATTAATGGACCTGGTTTCGACAGTATCGGACGCTTCCACGAGTTGGCCAGATCAGGATCTCAATAAAAGGGGGTCGACCGACTGAAAAATTTTATCGCGGCTTTCGCTACATCTCGGCACGACCATTTCAATGAGATGTCGAAAGGGGGGTCCACGGGCCCGACTTTCGGCAGTTAGCCAGGTAAGGGTCTTAGAAAGAGGTACGTCTCGGCAAGATTTCTCAACTAGAAGTAGAATAGAGAGTCCAGGAGCCCGACCCTATGAGTTGTGGCTTTCGGTGCCGCCACGCACTCGTTTCACGCTTCTCCAGGGCCCCAGTTGCAATGAGTTGAACGTAGTTTGCCGAAAGGAAGCAGGAAGCGCCGCAGGGCAAGGTAGGTGTTAACGCCAGGCGTATCTGGCGCAGCATCGCGAAGCCTGTTATGGCTTGACACGGTCTGCCGTACACCTACCTGTAAGGACAACCTTTGGCTCGACAATAAAGGAACACTGCAAAGCCGGTAGTAAGTTTCCTTGCCACAAAATTGGCAAGCCGTTTTGAATGCCAATGTTTGGCAAGCTTTGATCGGAAATCTCCATAAGCTTGCCGAATTCTGGCAAGCTAGGGGGTATATCCGGGCCAAGCTTGCCAATTTTGGCATTCGAATCAGCTTGCCAATTTTGTGGCAAGCAAACTTACCACCGGCTTTGCGGTGAAATCGTCATCGGTCGCGTACTTAAATCGGACTTCTTTTTAAAAAAATATATAAAAAGTAGCCTTACAGCGTCTCTTTGCGACTACCTATTTTTCTTTGAATCGTTCCGCAGCCCTTCCAGGAGTCATGACGCAAAGTAGACCACTTCAGACGACTCTCCACCGAAGATCGCATTGACATTGCGCGGATGTAGGCACTTGAGGAAGCAGAGTTGATAATATCATATCGCCATTGGAGTGTCGTCGCTGTTAATGGAGTGACAGCGTGTTCTGGCAAAGCAAAGTCATAAAAACTACTTCCTCTTTGGGCATTCACGCTCTCGGAGGGCGTGAATTTTGATAAGGAACTTAAAGGGGGCGTAAAGCGAAATTTGTAATTTTTTTTCATGTTTTCTCAGCTTTTTTTTACATAATGGTTACCCTGACATTAAAGTGTACATCACCATTTGATTCTCCATGCCGAGGCGCACAACTTCGTCAAAATTTGTACACCGTTATTTCTTATTCACGTTATTTAATTGTTATTCAAACGCTATTTCAAGGGTATTTCAACGTTATTTCGCGCTATTTCACGTTATTCCGCGTTATTTCACGGTTATTTTGGCGTTATTTCAAGTGTATGTAAAGGGGCCCCTTGTAAGCCGTTCCGGGCCGGTTTGGCACATTTTACAGTCTTTCCCGCCATTTGAACACCGCCAATCAGGTATCAATCGATTCCCCCTTCCAAGACCTGTGTTAAAGGAGGGCGTGACAGGAGGAGCTGCTGGTGCCTCGGCGCCGCTGCCGCTGGCGACGTCCTGAGGCCTCATGCGCCCCCCGTGGCGGTTTTGCGAACGACTGACCGAAAAAATTGCGAGGACTCTGATTTTGCTTGTACAAAGACCCATACGCAGGCATCCGCGTATGTCTTTGCTGAAATGGTCGCTTTTTGCCCTGCACAGGTCTGAAGGACCGCCGAAAAGTGCGATTATGTATCGGACTTCAATGTTATACCCTACGCTAAGCTAATAAAAAAACGGTGACTAACAAAATTTACACGAGTGGCTAGGCCAAAGGTAATCCCTTTAAGGATTAATCTCGATTTTGTGATATTTTTGTCAAAAAAAAATTATGTTCATGAATTTTATTTTAGTTGTGAACGGGGCCAATTCAGTTCAAAGGCTGTCTGCAGTTAAGACAGCTATTTCTGAGGGTGGCAGTATTGCACGACAGCCCAACTGCTGCTAACAACACTGTGGGGAAAAATCACAGTAAATCCTGTAGTGATTAGTACAGCTGTCACTGTAGTTCAGAGTACAGGATTTACTGTACTTTTTTAACAGGATCTACTGTACTTTGTACGGGATTTACTGTACCACAGGAGTGGAGTACGGAATATCCTGTACCAGGTACAATAGATACTGTAGCCAGGCACGGTAAATCCTGTGTTCTGAACTACAGCAAATCCCGGCAAAAAAATTAACGGGATTCACTGTGGTTTTTTCACACAGTGAATAACAAACCGCGACACAAACACTTTGCGCCAGTTCCATCTATAATGTTGTATTGATGTGTGTCCCTGAAGCCCTCATCACGATTCCTATGGACGTGTTAATGATAACATTCCACGAACATTTCAACATCCAGCTTTTCTCATTAGTCCATTAAACTGCTCACAAATTCACTTCCAAATAATGTCTTCCTTCAGAGCAGCGCCTGAGGGAGACACCCGAGGGCAACAGTATAATGGCCGATTCATGGTTAACTGCAAGTTCGGTTCAATTGACCTCAGCCAACAACAGTCTAGACGGTGCTCGGCGAGCCACCAGATACCGGCTTCCCAGGAACGGCACATACACCAGAGGTGCACCAGAACCCTACATTGTGAAACATCCGTCAGATAAGACTAAGGACCAGTTCCAATGGTGCCTTTATAAAGTGTGGCAGCCAACTCCTGCGCACCAGTCACAGACGACCGACTCTGCGGCATCCAGCTAACCCATGGCTTCCAAGTACTCAATGCTCGTATTGGTCATCAGCGCCTGCTGCCTCGTAAGTAGTGCTGAATAGTTTTGGTTAGGAACGTGTGTCTCCTACACAGCGAATTCAAGTGTGAGACGTCTCACAGGCGTGAAACAGAATTTCTCCCGCTTACAAGTGTGAGACACCGATTTACAAGTGTGAAACACGGTTTGTCTCACACTTGCTGCCTATGGTTAGGGCACGGGGTGGCTCAGTTCCGCCACCTTGAAACTACACGGTGGATTTTTTTTCTGCTCATAGCTTTTAAACCTCCGAAAGCTAGAGGGGAAAAGTAAGCGAGCCGATTGTAGCTGGAACGGGGAAGTGCAATGAAACCGGCTAATCAAAAGAAAAATCGAATTCAATTTATGGAACAAGATTGGATATGAGTTCATGTTGTTGAATACTTTTAGCCAGCCTTACTGCCCTGAAAAGACCTCGTCAACAAAGAGTATACATTTTCTTAACATCATTTTATAAGTCTTATGTAATTTAAATTTTCATAACAATCGTATGTAGAAAAAATGCTGATCGATGTCATGAAAATTTCAACTTGTTTTTTGAACAGTAAAGTTCCTGAATTTTGATCACGATTTCAGACATATTTCTGACATTCTGACAAAATTCACACCAGTGAGGTGGCACACTGACTGAGCCCACCCACCAATCGATAAATGTGACAGTAACATCTGTTTGGAGTGATCGCACGTGTCTAGCACATCTTCCTGCCTTTGCCACCGCTAACACTTAATATAATTTGCAGATGGCCGGTGTCTCGACGGGTGCGATTGAAAAGAAGGTAATTAAAAATTCAAAACCTGAATCGTTTGTAACAAATGAAATTAATTAGATGTTCGACGCAATACCGGACCGGACGACTTCGGTGCATGACCAACTTCCAATGACAAAATCAACCATATTTTGGGATACTTTTTTAACCGAATTATCTCTGTTTTCCTGATGTTCAAAGGTGGCCACTGAAGGTACCTGCCACGGTGTAGGGAGATACGGTGGGGACACTCGGGCCCTCGGCCACGCGGCCGAGTGAAGCTCGTTTTTGGCCCGTTTCGTAGTTCCGAACGCTCCGCTAGTAGCGCTGTTCCCCATGTGGGCCGAGGTGGTGGGGGAAGTGGGCCGGCTCACTATTGGCTGGCCGCTGGCGGCGGTGCGCGGCGGTGCGCGGTAGCCAGCCGCCAGCCAATAGTAAGCCGGCCCATTTCCCCCACCACCTCGGCCCACATGGGGAACAGCGCATCCTGGCGGAGCGTTTGGAACTACGGAACGTCCAGAAACGGGCTTCACTCCGTAGCGCCTAGTGTCCCCACCGTCTCTCCCTACACCGTGGTACCTGCAGCAAACAGGTACTGGACAACCTGGAAGCCACGATCGAGCTCTGCACTCGAAACGTGCCCGCCGAGCAGTTCGCTGACCCGTCTTGGGAGTGTGCCCGCACCGTCTCCGGCTACCTGGAGGACGCCGACGAGTGCGACTTGAGCGTCGTTCCCGACTACCTGGAAGACTGCCTGTATGGCTTCTTCCTCCGCGATCACTCCGTCAAGCCGGCGGTGAAATGCATCAAGCTCGCCATTGAGTCAGACATCTGCTGTTCGGCGGAGTAGTAGTTGCAACTTGTCTTTTCATTGACAGTCATCAGGAATAAACATTCTTGAAGTGAGTTACGTGTTTGCAAAACCCTAAATGTCTCACGGTCAAAGGCCATACGTACACATCAAGGTGGAGATTTTTTCCAAAGTAACCAAAAAATTCCACAACATATCTATAAGGTAGATAGGTTTCTCAACTTTATTCTCAAAAAAATGTTTTGAGGCACCATGTTAAAAATACGTTTCAAGAGGTGCTGATCAAATAGAGATAGTTGAAAAAAATATTTTTTCTGGACCCAAAACCACCTAAGTTTAGTGGTAAAATGACCCAAAACTTCAATTGCTCACAGTTCCTGTAATAATTGCCTGAGATGGCTGAAATTTTGTGGGGGTGTTTACCTAAGGGTAGGCACCATTTAAGCCAAAGAGGAGCGAAATCCCCGATGGTCTGCTTCGAACGGCCCTGATACGCTCAAATCTTCAGTAAAAATAGTGAAATTCAGCAACTTTGAGAGCCCGTAGCGTCCAAACCCGACGTCGTAGAGCCTCGCGCGACCCGGCATTCGAAAGATCGCACTTTTTTCTTTCGGAAACGACACCTTGGTAGATTTTTTGGCCAGCAGGTTCCGGGATCCCAAAAAGCCCCAAACCCTCAAAAACAGCCATTTTTAGGGGTTTTTGACCTCTACCAAAAAGCCAATCGGTGTTGGATCCGGCCCAATTTGTGTTTCGGCAATTCGTATTCACTAGAGGAACCAAAAAAACCGGGAGGGAGCCAGATCTGAGGGGGTCCCCGGCCAAGTGTTTTTTTTTTGTCTGGAGCTGCTCAAGGGCTTTGGTGGTTTGAATTCAGCTATCTATCTTTTAACTATCTTCTTTTGAAAGCACCTCTTCAAACATATTTTTAACATGGTGTCCCAAATCATTGTTGCGGGGACTGATGAACCGGTCCGAAAGGGCCCTTTCGCTCGATGCCGAGTGAAGAGAAGAAAAAATCGCAAAAGCCCGGAACCAGTAGCGCGCCACCTAGCGGCCGTTGTAGCGAACTGCCAAACCCTGAACCCTGATTGGTCACAAGTGTAGGTCTGGACGAAGTCTACAGCATCGGCCACTAGACGGCGCGCTACTGGCTTCTGCACTTTGATTACTTTTGTTCGTCACTCAGCGTCAAGTGAAAGGGTCTATTGACAAGGAAAACCGTCTTTCAATGCAACCAACAACATGGTGGCTCATGGCAATTAAACATTGACCTTCTGCTCCTCTGGAACCCAATTAAGTTTCATGCTGAAGTCGGAGGTTTTATAGTAAGCCAATTATTGTGTTTATATTTTTTTGTAATTAAACTTTCCTTGTTTTTATCTTCTTTAATCTTTGTTTTCATTTGTGTGTTATAGAAACCTACGCTCTAGCAAGAGACGCTGTCGCCAAGTTTGTGATTGTTTCGAACTATGAGACTGATCAAGAAGTCAGCTAAGGCAGTATTCTGCCTCGATTTGTTGTATTTTTTACATTCTTAGGCAATGTGGGCAATCATTGTTGCCAAGTTATGAGAGCTAGCAGAGGCCGTGGCAAGCGTGTCAGGTACTACAGGCCCTTGTTCCTTCAATCATCTGAGAGTGTCTGAGAGTGAAGGGGAGGTTGCAGGGAAGAAAACCAAATCTCATTCAACGAACGTGAATGAAAGTATAAGATGATAGTATCATCTTACTTTCATTCACGATCGTTGAATGAGATTCTTTGTTTCCCTCCCTGACATTTCTCTTAAGTGATGTCAATTTGTACAACTTTAAAAAATCAGTCAAAGCCCTCTGAAATAAATCTAAAACACGTCCTTGATTTTACGGCAGCCCTTTCAGCCGTGATGAGTTTGGTCATATATGGGTTTTCGGCGAAGGCTATAGTCACTAGGAATTAACCAGCCCTATGAACACTAGTTTGAACTGCAGCCTTAAACAATGCCGAAAGAATTCTTTAGGAAACCAGAGCACAAATAGAATGAGCTTCGATTACATTACCACTGTGTTCTCCTTCAATTCATTAAATATTACTTATAAAATTGTGAATTCATTATTTAGGAAAAAAAGATATCGAATAGTGACCCAAGCATACAAGTAGCCAATTAAGCGATTCAATGCTGGCAATTGAATGTTACTCGACTGAGGGATTCGCATTGGTGTGGCATCAGGGAATTGGTGACGACAGAGGGTGCTTCATGAAGACAAATAGGAACAATATACAGAAAGAAATTTAGTCTAAAGTATTGTATGTAGTTTTCAGTGTACTAGTCACAAAAACTTCATTTATTTCAATGCCAATCCTACATTTTCATCTAGAGCTACGCAATTTTGGGCCAAACTTTCCAAGTTGAGATTTGTGTGTTTCGCTGTAGTTTTCAGTGCGCTGACCTCAATATTGACATCTAAATTGTCCCCTGACCCAAACTTTTAACACCAGACCTATAATTTCATCCCATATTAGGTCATTTTGGACCAAAAATTTCAAGTCAAGGTTTATATTGTTTCCTGCAGTTTTTGATGTGCTGAACTTAAAAATGACTTCCAAAATTTTCTCAGACTCACACTTACCCAAATTTGGACCAATTTTGGAGCAGAATTTTTAAATCGAGTTTGACGTTGATCCCAGCAGTTTTTGGTGTGCTGATAACGAAAATCACTCCCATTTCGACTTCAGACTTATATTTTCATCCCAAATTAGGTCATTTTGGACCAAAATTTTCAAGTCGAGTTTTATATGGTTTCCTGCAGATTTTGGTGTGCTGAACTCAAAAATGACCTCCAAACTTTACCCAGACTCACATTTAACCGAATTTTGACCAATTTTGGACCAAAATTTTTATATTGAGTTTGACTTTGATCCCAGCAGTTTTTGGTGTTCTGATAACGAAAATCACTTCCACTTGTGCCCCTGGTCTAAAGTTCACTCAATATGAGCCCATCATTGCACATTTCGTCTACTCAAGCAAAGTCCAAAGTGCACAAACTATGTCAATTCGCATCGCTCAGCCACACTACGCGCCCAGACTAAACGGCGCGTACCCCTAGTTTAAACTTTGGTACAGTGTCCAACTATCTATGAAATATAAACTTAAGAAAAGGACCAGCTGCTTATTCATTGTTTCTAAAACATATATTTTAAGACAGTCTTGAGATACATAAAGGTTTCGATCATTTCCTTAAGGGGGCACACCAGTGAAAATCGTCAAATTTTGGCCTCCTTTTTTATTTTATCTCATTTTTCTGCTATTCATTCCGAGTCGAACGCCGCAAACCCCACCTCAAAATTCCAATTACTTTGGCTTGGGCACATTTTTGAAGTTCCTAAAAAGGTAACTATTTTTGCATATTTTACCTCAATTGTTAACGTGCAGGTGTTTCACTTGAAGTCCAATGACAAAACCCTCGAACCATCGAAACGCAGTTGGAAAAAGGAATATTATGGCGCAAACCGAACTCAAATATGTCATAAATTGCGTCCGTAATGAGGAATAATGCGTGTAAACCGTAGTTTCACTTCAAACGTCGTTTTCTCGAAACACCATTTTTATACCTGGTGCCCACGATTGCGGCCGCAAAAATTGAGATAATTGAGTGCGGTTTGCGGCAAAATGTTCCTTAAACTTCCCGCTATCGTGTGAACCTCGGATATGGTCGTAGCATGAACAGGGCCTGAGCCACAGACACGGAAACGTGAAAAATATGGTCAAAAAATTAGTTTCTTTTTTTGCTTCTCAAAAAAACACATTTAGGATTGTGTTTCCGACATGTCCGTGGTTCACACGATAGCCACATGTGTCCTGATGAGAAATTTTGAAACCCCATGTTTGTGGCTCAATCGAGGGCTTCACCAAGTTGGGCAAAGTGGAGCCGTGTCACCGAAAAATGAAGATGGCGCCCACCCCCCCTTCCCGTCACCGCCCCTGGCTGCCGTGTACTTTTTTGGTTAAATTGACATATTTTATCGTTCAGAATGAAATTTCAACCCATTACCTTCGTTACTTTAATCAGAATAACGTTTTTACGAAGCCTCTGCATTTTCACTGGTGTGCCCCCTTAAGGGGGGACATCACTCCAAAATGATCAAAAATTGCAACTTTTTTTTATTAGTTTATATTATAGACCATTCCTTTCTGCGTCGAATGGTGAAAACCGAATTCCGGAATTCAAAAAATTGCAGTTTTAGTAGGTTGTGCGCCGCAAACATGCATAGGGGAAAAGCCCAGTTTCCCCAACTTTGATCGCGTTTTTCTCGGAACATGAAATTGCAATCGGTTGCAGGCCTCTAGGGCGCAGTTTTTGAGCTACAGCGAGGAGATTTAGCATGGAAGCTCCTTCGACATGCCGCTATGGTGGGTAGCAAAATATTTTGATTTGGTCAATTTTTATTATTTTTTAACGTTCAAAATTGAACAATTTTGACTCAAAAAATTGAACAATTTTTTTTGGCATGTAACAAATTTAACTTTAAATGATTTTTGAAATGTGATTGAGGTACCCACCATAGCCAGACATCTCAGGAAGGCTGTCATCAAATTTCAATGTTCTAGATCAAACCGTTTGGCGTCCAGCGCTGCAACCGTGCGAAATGGTCTAACCTAACACTCAAAAATGTGTTTTCAACGAAAGCGCTGTACTGCCGTCGCGGATTGACTTAGTGTTGTTTTATGCTTTATCTGTTAAAATATGAACAATTTTCCTCTTTCCGTTTGGTTTTGAGGTTAGCAAAGTGCACAGCCGCCGTGCCCAGATCGTTTCGTCGTAGATTCAGAAGTACCATCAAACCTCGCTAAAAGGGGCAGCTACAAGAACAGCTTTTTCGAAAAGAAACTTCAAGTGACTCTCAAACCACATTAAGGAAAGATAATTCACAGAAGCATGTGCACAGGGAAGCGAGAAGGAGCTCTGCTATTGGTCGGGTTCGGCTCGGCTCCCCCCTCTCTCTGTCTTTTTCGTTGACGAGTCGAGCTTTGCCATGGACACGGTGATTCACTGAGATTCCAAACGCTATGAGTATAGCACGTATGGTGCAATGCGCTGTGATATCGCACCATACG